ATTTCACATGTGTTGTTGTTGTATGGTTTGTAGGCCAACCAAAACTATGAATACACAACATTAAGTGCACTTTGGACCAAAATAATCTACACACAGCATTGAGTGTACATTGGAACAAAACGATCTATACACAATATTAACTGTACCTTAGACAAAAACGATTTATACACAAAATTAAGTGTACCTTAGACAAAAACGAGCTATACACAGCATTAAGTGAACCTTGGACCAAAATGATCTATACAGAGCATTAAGTGTACCTTGAACCAAAACTATGTACACACAACACTAAGTGTGCCTTAGAACAAAACGATCTATACATAGCATGAAATGTAGCTTAGACCAAAATAATTTATACCAACGTTAAGTTTTCCTTGGATCAAAACGATTTTTACACAACATTAAGTGTAACTTAGACTAAAACGATCTATATACCGCATTAACTGTAATTTAGACTAAAACGATGTATACATAGCATTAAGTGTACCTTGGACCAAAAGGATCTATACACAACATTAAGTGCACTTTGGACCAAAATAATCTACACACAACGTTAATTGTAACTTGGACCAAACAATGTATACACAAGTTTGAGTGTATCTTAGACCAAAACGATGTATACAAAGCATTATGTGTACTTTGGACCAAAACAATTTATACTCAACCTTAAGTATATCTTGGACCAAAACGACTATTTACAGCATATAGTGTACCTTGGACCAAAAACATCTATATAGAGCATTAACTGTACCTTGGACTAAATCTATCTATAGACAGCATTAAGTACCTAGGAAGAAAACGATGTATACACAGCATTAACTGTAACTTAGACCAAAACGATGAAAACAAAGCATTAATTGTACCTTGGATGAAAACGATGTGTACACGACATTAATAAGTTTACCTTAGACCAAAACGATCTATACACAACATTAAGTGTACTTTGGACCAAAACAATTTATACACAACGTTAGGTGTAACTTAGACCAAAACGATGTATGCACAGTAATATGTGTAACTTGGACCAAAACGATGTTATATATATAGTCTTAAGTGTACTTTGCACCAGAACGATCTATACACAACATTAAGTGTACCTTGGCCCAAAACGATGTATACACAGCATTAAGTGTACGTTGGATGAAAACGATGTGTACACAACATTAAGTGCAACTTAGACGAAAACGATCTATATATACAGCATTAAGTGTACCTTGGACCAAAACTATATATACACAGCATTAAGTGTACCTTGTACCAAAACTATATATACACAACATTAAGTGTAAATTCGAAGAGAACAATCTATACAGTGAATTAAATGAAATTATACCAAAACGATCTATACACAGTATTAAGTGTACCCTGGACAAAAATTGTCTATACACAGCATTAAGTGTATTTTGAACAAAAACGATTTATATACAGCATTAGGTGTACCTTGGACCAAAACGATCTATAAACAGTATTAAGTGTATCTTGGAACAAAACGATCTATACAGAACATTAAGTGTAAATTAGACCAAAACGATCTATACAGAGCATTAAGTGAAATTAGACCAAAACGATCTATACACAAATACCAAATGTAAATTAAACCAAAACGATTTATACACAACATTAAGTTTCCCTTAGATCAAAATGATCTATACACAACATTAAGTCTACCTTGGACCAAAATAATCTATACACAACACAACACCAAAACGATCTATACATAGCATTAAGTGTATCTTAGACCAAAATAATTTATTCCCAACGTTAAGTATACCTTGGACCAAAAATCTATACACAACATTAAGTGTACATTGAATCAAAACGATTTATATATAGCATTAAGTGTACTTTTTACCAGAACGATCTATACACAACATTACCGTAGACGAAATCAAGCTATACACAACATTAAGTGTACCTTGGATCAAAACAATCTATATACCACATTAAATGTACCATAAACAAAAATGATCTATACCCAACATGAAATGTACCTTCAACCAAAACGATTTATATACAGCATTAAGTGGATCAAAACGATCTATATAAATCATTAAGTGTGCCTTAGACTTCTATGCATAATATTAAGTGTAACTTAGACGAAAACGATCTATATACAGCATTAAGTGTACCTTGGACCAAAACTATGTATACACAGCATAAAGTGTACCTTGGATCAAAACGATTTATATACAGCACTAAGTGTACCTTGGACGAAAACGATCTATACACAACATTAAAAGTAACTTAGACCAAATCGATCTGTACACAGCATTAAGTGTACTTTGGACCAAAACGAGCTATACACAACATTAAGTGTAACTTAGACAAAAACGCTGCATACACAGCAGTAATTGTACCTTGGACCAAAACGATCTATACACAACATTAAGTGAAATTAGACCAAAACGATCTATACGCAAACACCAAATGTAAATTAGACCAAAACGATTGATACACAACATTAAGTTTACCTTAGACGAAAACTGTCTATACACAGCATTAAGTTTACCTTAGACGAAAACGGTCTATACACAGCATTAAATGTACCTTGAACAAAAACAATCTATATACCACATTAAATGTACCTTAAATAAAAATGATCTATACACAACATGAAATGTACTTTCAACCAAAACGATTTATATACAGTATTAAGTGGACCAAAGCGATCTATATAAAGCATTAACTGTGCCCTAGACATCTATGCATAATATTAAGAGTAACTTACACCAAAATGATCTATATACAACATTATGTGTGCTTTAGACCAAAACGATCTATATATACAAGATTAAGTGTACATTAGACCAAAATGATTTATATCGAGCATTAAGTGTATTTTGGAACAAAACGATTTATATATAGCATTAAGTGTACCTTAGATGAAAAAGATCTTTTCACAACATTAAATGTTCATTAGACCAAAAGAAGTATAACCAGCATTAAATGTACCTTGAACCAAAATGATTTATGTACAGCGATAAGTGGACGAAAACGATCTATATTCAGCATTAAGTGTGTCTTGGAACAGAAGAATCTATTCCCAACATTAAGACTAACCTAGACCAAAACGATCTATACACAACATTAAGTGTGCTTTAGAACAAAATTATATATACACAGCATTATGTGTACTTTAGAACAAAATGATCTATACACAGCATTGTGTGTACCTTGGGCCAAAGCGTTTTATACAGCATTACGTATATTTTGGACCAAAACGATTTATACACAGCATTAAGAATACGTTGAAGCAAAACGATTTATATACAGCATTACGTATATTTTGACGAAAACGATTTATATAAGTTACCAACTATACCTCGGACCAAAACGATGTATACACAGCATTACGTGTACCTCAGACCAAAAAGATCTATACACAACACCAAGTGTATTTTGTACCAAAACGATATATACACCACATTAAATGTACCTTGGAGCAAAACGATTTATATTCAGTATTACGTATATTTTGGACGAAAATGATTTATATACATAACTTACTGTACCTTAGACCAAAACGTTGGATACACAGCATTATGTGTACCTTGGACCAAAACGATCTATACACAATATTAAGTGTACCGTAGACCAAAATGCTTTATATAGAGCACTAAGTGTACCGTAGACCAAAAACGATGTATACACAGCATTAAGTCTACCTTCGACCAAAACATTCTATACTCAACGTTAAGTGTACCTTAGACCAAAACGATATATACATAGCATTAAGTGTACTTTGGACCAAAACGATTTTTATACAACACTAAGTGTACCTTGGACGAAAATGATCTATACACAACATTAAAAGTAACTTAGACCAAATCGATCTATACACAGCATTATGTGTACCTTGGATCAAAACGGTGTATACTGTAACGTGGATTCTAGCATACCAACAGAGAAAGTGTGATACTATAGTTTGGATTCTGGTATTACAACAGAGAAAGTTTGATTCCACAATGTGGATTCATGTATACCAACATAGGCAGTGTTATACTGTTGTGTTATTGAGTTATTTCGAATTCTACTGTGAGGTTGTAGTGTGATGTGGATTATATTAAAGAGTTAAAAGAGTATCAGCTACATTGTTTAGAAACACTTCTTTGTTATTTTTTTCTAAATAAATTTTGTAAGATATAGTTTCAACATTTTGGTGTTTTTGTTTTCCTTACGGCTAGACAAAGTAGGAAAAAGGAAATTATTGGCTGGGATGAGAAACAAGGAACTGTTCAGTACAAGGATGTTAAAACTTACGTATTCCAGCCAGATCTATCTGTTGGGACCCAGGAGGAAATGGTGTATGTGGTGAATGCACCATTATTGGTAAATATAAAATACACAGCTTTTATATAATGTCAATACAATAAATATTATATCTGAAACTGCTCCAACTTGTTTTTATACAATTTATTACCATTACGGAATTTTATGTTTTTGCCTTTTTTAACACCCAGTGTATAGTAATTGTTCATTTCGTGTATGAACTACACAGGGTAGCTAGGCAGTTGATTTAATTTGAATATTGAGGGTATGTTTATATGTGGGCTGCGATCATGGCTGAAGAGAGTGGGGGCTACGGGGCATGAAAGTGGGATATGCCAAAGCTCACTTAAAATGCATACTACTAAAAGAGCTATAATGGCACTGTTTTTTCGTGGATTTATGAATACATTTTTCATCTAAATTTCTTTTATGAAAAATCAGCAAAAGTCAATAGATAGAATGAAAGGTGGCTCGATGATGTTGCTGATCCCGGGGTCTGGGCTTGCTCTTGATGCCCCTGGCAGGGATTCTTTTATAGTAGGTGTCTGTGACTTGTTGTCGATAAATTCGAAAAATAAATGGAGAGCACACAATCCGCTTGTTTTAAAATAACACATATTAAAAACAAGTGAAACGTATGTACAAAAATATTTTACACTATGGGATATCACAGTTGCACCTAAAACTCTAAATAATTATCTTTTCTTGTCAAAAGTCCATACAGGGTAATTCAGTTACCTTAAAATCCAATTGACGAGACAAATTATTTTTTCTCTACTTTGTTTAATACTATACAATTTGCGATAAGTTCACTTGCATTACCCCGTGGGTTACCATAGTTGTATCCAGAACTTTAAATAATTGTCTCCTTTTCGTCAAAGTCCACACAGACTGGTTCAACTACTTTAGAACACCCTTTGACAAGACAGATTATTCTCATTATTCCTGTTTAACTGTGAAACTCGGTTTACAATTTCACCAGTTATGGCTAAACTAACAATCACGCAGTATAATTCACAAAAACCTTCTTCAGAAAGTTCATATCATTTCAGCAAGGCCACTTTTAATTTGTCATAGTCCATGGCATCTTCTGACGTCGTGCCTACACATACTTGTAGGCCTTTTCCTGTGAAAAGTTGGCTGAGATAGACTGCCCAGTCACCTTTGTCCCAGTTCTGAATTTGGGCGAATCTTTCATATCTCTCCAGGAAAGTGTCTATATCATCTTTCTGTTCATCAAATTTGGGCAGCTTGGGTCAGCTGACCCTGACCCCATTGTCATTCTTGAATCCTTCTTCTTTCTGTTGGTTGAGCTCTTTGTTGTACTCTTATTCTCTCTATTTCTAGTTTCTAATTTTCTTCTTTCTTAATTTGTGCTCTTATTCTATCTCTCTCTATATATATTTCCAGTCTCTCTTTTCACTCAATTTTTTCTTTCAGTTCTTCTTCCTCTCTTCTCTCGCTATGCTCTTCTGATTCTAGATAGCTTTGTTGTCTAACAGACTCTTGTAGTTCACTACCTTTTAACCCAAGACGTTCACTTTTTTCTATCCATTTATCAAACTATGCTGACGTGTTTAAATAGTGTGGTTGTAAACTTCAGTATTTTCGTCATCATTATAGCTGTACATATATAGGCCTAGTTGCGCTGTCATTCACGTCTGCTTCTACCGCCGTTTACCAATGTATAGTCCTGTCGCAGACACCAAATTCAAGGTTTTATATATGTTAATTAGGATTATTTTACAGTGGGTGTATATTGGCGATAAATTCGAACAATAAACGGATAGCACACAATCCACTTATTTTAGAATAATATATATTCAAAACAAGTGAAAAATATGTACAAAAATTGTTTAAATGATTGTATCTAAAATTCTAAGTAATTCTCTTGTCAAAAGACCACACAGGCTGATTCAATTACTTTAGAGTCCAATTGACAAGATGAATTATTCTCCTGTTATATTGTGAAACTCACTTTAAAGTATCGCCGCTATGGCTAAACTAACAATCACGCAGTTTAATTTCACTTTCACTAACTTAACATTTTCTGACTTAACTTGAGCTCACTTGGTCGCCTATATATGTATATATATATATATCTTGTCCAACTGAGGCCTAGAACTTTTTACAAACCAGGAGATGCTATGATGTAACAATACTCATTTAAGGCAACGTGAAACATACCGAAGGTTCGAGTAAGGTGACGTCATATTACAACAGTTGAACTACATACACAACGTATGACTCTTATCGAGTTACATAACGAAATTTGTTATAACTATCGCTTTTAAAATAATTAACTTTAAACACTCTTGTTATGAAAACTAAATAATCATTAAATATTAAATCCCTAAACAAAATAAATAATAACTTTTACACTAAACAATCTTGAATATCCAACAGACTTCAAGGACTCACAAGCAGGTTTGTGTATTAAAGCCTGATGGGATCCAGTTGATACTGTCAGTAATAATAAGGTTCGAGTTGAATTCGAATTTGTAAGCAATGAAGCAAATTTTTGTAATTGCATTTTTTTAGATACTTCCAATTTACTTAAGTTACGTATAATTTATTATATTTGTTCAAAACTAGTGTTTATTTATGGACATTTTTACTGTTCTAATTTTCAGGGAATTGCCAAAATAGCAACGGAGAAAATTTCAAGAATTATTCAACCACTTTTCATGCCAATTCTTAGTTCCTTGCTAAAGCATTACAAGGAAGAGTTGATTGTGAAACGAATGGTTCGACAAATTCTTTTTGACGGATACGAAGTTCGACTACTGAAGGATTTGAGCAGACTGGTACAACCCTTCGTCAAACTGCCTCAGTTGCTACCCAATAACACTTTTGGTCTGTTCTATGGAGTAAGTTTATTGAAGTAGTTATTAAAGTATAATCCCATAATGTTCTAAAGTTGAAAGTGAAGAAACTAGTTGTTTGTATAGCAGAGACTGCTAGTTAATCTGAAGATGACCTAAGAAGGTCGAAACGTTGTTCTTGTACTTTATTATAATTAAACTTATTAATACCCATACGAGCCGTCTCTGATATAAATTTTTACTTCAAGTGAGTTTCTCGTCTTCATGAAACGAGTTGTTTGTTAGAGCCTGACTTCACTTTACAAATGAGCATAACTTAAAGTTAAAACATTTACTGAAGTTGTTAAAAGCAAACCAGGAAAGAAAGGTTTATAAGTTTCTACAAATTGCAGTTTCAGGTAAAGAATGTAATGTTTCTGTGTTCTTTCTTACAGAAAAATGACACAACAAGTGGAATTTTTTCAGTTTTTACTGGAATAGGTGACTCAAGTAAATTCACAATTGTTAACACATGGAAAAATAAACAGTGAGTGTTAACGTTTTAATATTAATTCTAAGAAAGCAGAAGAGAATATATTACAACAGATCAACCACTCTACTATTCCTCACTGAGATACGACAGACATAATATTTCCATTCACGGTGGTAGTTATTTAGGTAAGATAAATAAAGAATTAAAATGTAATTGAAACCAGGGTAGGTCAGAGGTTATCTGCTCTTGGGTTTTACATTTCTTGGAACAACTCCAAGATAAAAAGAATTTTTACTTTGGTGATATATTACGGAAAAAGCCTGGTCGTCGTCATGCCTTAAATTCAGTGGAAATAGGTGATTACTATAAAAATTCAAAGGCAAACGTAATAGTAGTCTAGGCACTATATGTATATATATATATATATTGTTACGACAGCGGAAGTCACGTGACTCTGCTGACGCATTGACGCTGGTGGCGTGTGCGTGGAGTTTCTCGAATTATCGTGAATTTCCTAGTTTGTTCGGGACGCCCTCTTTTTTAATATATAAGCCCGGCAAATAAAAGAAGAGAGAGATATGCAGATAGATTGAAGATAGAGATAACTGAGTCAAGCGAACAGTACAGTAGGCACGGTAAGTAAAGTGTGTGTGAATCACTGTGATTTATAGCGTGTCTTATAAAAGTTAAGTGTATTACAAAGTTGTATCGAGAAAGAATAAACTAGTTTTAATTAAGAAAGGACTTGT